ATCACAAGCATTCCTATACACCAGTAACAGACAGAGAGCCAAATCATGAGTGAACTCCTATTCACAATTGCTTCAAAGAGAATAAAATACCTAGGAATCTAACTTACAAGGGATGTGAAGGACCTCTTCAAGGAGAACGACATACCACTGCTCAACGAAATAAAAGAGGACACAAACAAATGGGAGGCTGAGATTTTCATACACGCTAGGCAGGGGGTGCTGTGTGACCAGGCCTCAGGAAAAGCCCTAGACACTGAGTCCCTCATGGGCTTCCCCAGTGGACAGTGTTTCACACGTTGTTGCACTGCATCATGGAGGAGTTGAGCCGAGTGCCCTGTGTGTATCCCGTGGGAGAGGGCTTCGGCAACTTGTGCCTGCCCCCTTTGTTGATTGCTTTGTCTCTTTTGCTGTAATAAATCACAAACACAAGTGCGCTGTACCCATGCTGAGTTCTATGAGTTCTAGTGAATCACTGAACTTGAGGGTCTCGGGGGCTCGGGTCACAGTACTTCCAGCCTGCTTCATGGGCACTGTCATCACATGTGTAGTCCACTTCCTTTACGTTGATCTTCATGTTTGTTTCACTCCACCTTCCATGTCACATGTTTTCCTTCACTGTCTGTTAATCCCCTGGCCCATTGCTCATGGCTGAGAGAGCACAGACCTAAAAGGTGAGCTTTGGGTACACGGTGGGCTTCTCAGCTTTGAGCTTCACCATCGGGTGATCTGAGTGGGGCGTTGGTGGGAACCCCTGGGTCAGTATCTACAGGGCTTTCCTAGTTCCCTGCCTGGGGGGTCAAGGTCTAGCCTGCTGCATTCTGAATGCCCACAGACAGAAAGGAGCTGGGAATTTGCACTAAGCAGTGAGCATTTCATCACCTAATCTCCCTGTTTAGGAATGGCTCAGATGCCCTCAGCTATCCCCTATTCCAGAGACCCTCTGTTATTTTATTATTTTAAAACAATTTTTTCTGCAGTAAAATTGATGTTTATCTTTTGGGGTACAGGTCTATAAATTTAAAATTATGTATAGATCAGGCCACGTGTGGTGACTCACACCTGAAATCCCAGCATTTTGGGAGGCTGAGGGTGGATCATTTCAGGTCAGGAGTTTGAGACCAGCCTGGCCAACATGATGGAAACCACGTCTCTACTAAAAACACAAAAATTAGCTGGGCGTGGTGGTGCGTGCCTGTGATCTCAGCTCCTCAGGAGGCTGAAGCAGGAGAATTGCTTGAGCCTGGGAGGCAGAAGTTGCAGTGAGCCAAGATCATGCCATTGCACTCTAGCCTGAGCGATGAGAGAGAAATTCTGTCTCAGAAAAATAAAAATAAAATCATGCATAGATCAATATTATCACCACCACAGTTAGGATACAGTTCTGTCACCCCAGACCCCTCCTTTGTACTCGCCCTTCATAATCACTTTTGCTCCATACGCATAGCCTCTGACAGCCACTGATGTGTTCTTTATGACTATAGTTTTAACTCTGGAAGAATGTCATATAAATGGAGCTGTGTGTTTTGCAGCATCATGCAGCTGTAACCTTTGATTCAGCAGGTAACAATGTGCATGGCCTCTCCACTCACAGTAATGCCTTTCAGATTTAGCCAAGTGGTTGCGTCTATTGGTAGGTCTTTCCTTTTCATTGCTGAGTAGTATTCCATCACAAGGGTGTACCACAGTTTGTGCACCCATCAAAGGACATTTAGGTTGCTTCTAGTTTTTGGTAATAGAGCTGCTTAAAAATAGTGTACGCATGTTTTTATAGGAACATAAGTTTTCAATTATTTAGGGTAAATGCCAACAAATGAAATTGCTCAGCTATATGTTAAGTATATGCCTGACTATAAAAAACTGCCCACCGTTTTCCAGTGTGGCTAGATCACTCCGCATTCTCACCAGCAGTGAACAAGGGTTCTAGTTGTTCCCTACCCTCTCCAGAGTGTGGTATTGTCAGTATTTTAATTTTAGCCATTCTAAGAACTTTGTATTGTTATCACATCATGGTTTTAATTTGTAGTTCCCTGATGGATAATGATGTTGAGCATCTTTTGATGTGTTTATTTGCCATTTTACATCCCATTTGGTGAAATTTCTGCTAGAGTTTTTGCTCATTTTTCAATTGGGTTGTTTACTGTCTTACTGCTGAGTTTTTGGGAGTTTTAAAAAATATATATTCTAGGCTGGGCACGGTGGCTCATGCCTGTAATCCCAGCACTTTGGGAGGCTGAGGCAGGCGGATCTCTTGAGGTCAGGAGTTCAAGACCAGCCTGGCCAACATGGTAAAACCCCATCTCTACTAAAAACACAAAAATTAGCCAGGCGTGGTGGCACACGCCTGTGCTCCCAGCTACTCAGGAGGCTGAGGCAGGAGAATTGCTTGAACCAGGGAGGTGGGATTGCAGTGAGCTGAGATTGAGCCACTGTACTCTAGCCTAGGCAATGGAGCGATATCCTGTCTCAGGAAAAAAAAAAAAAAAAAAGAAAATTCCAGGATGGGCACAGTGGCTCACACCTGTTATCCTAGCAATTTGGGAGGCTGAGGCAGGATGATCACTTGAGCTCAGGAGTTCAAGATCAGCTTGGGCAACATGGTAAAACCCTGTCTCTACAAAAAAAAAAAAAAAATAGTGGGGCATAGTAGCACACACTTGGAGTCCCAGCTACTAGGGAGGCTGAGGTGGGAGGATCAGCTTAGCCCAGGGAGGTTGGGGCTGCAGTGAGCCATGACTGTACCACCTCACTCCAGCCAGGGCAACAGAGTGAGACCCTGTCTCACCAAAAACATATATATAGAGATAATAAATATGTGTTTACACACACATTCTGGATTTAAGTCCTTTGTTGGATATATTATTTGCTAATATTTTCTCCCAGTCTATAGTTTGTCTTTTCGTTCTCTTTTATTTTTAACCCAATCTGTGACAAGCACATCTTTTCATTCTCTTTACAGTGTCTTTTGCAGAGCAAAATTTTTAATTTTGATGAAGTCCAAATTATACATTTTTTTTCATGTATGCGTGTGTTTCTGTGTCACATCTAAGAACTCTTTGCCTAACCCCGGTCACAAGGATTTTTTTTCCATTTTCTTCTCAATGCTTTAATAGTTTTATAGTTTACATTTATATAGCTTTGATCAAGTTTTTCTTTTTTGAGACAGAGTCTCATTTGTTGCCCAGGCTCGTGTGCAGTGGTGCAGTTGTAGCTCGTTGAAGCCTCAAACCTCCTGGCCTCAAGCAGTCCTGTAGCAGCCTCCCAAAGTGCTGGGATTACAGGTGTGAGCCCCCAGCTTTTGATCAATTTTGAACGAATTTTTGTATATGGTGTGAGGTTTACATTGAAGTTCTCTTTCTTTTGCACTTTTGATAAACATACGTTAGCCATACTTATGTGGATCTGTTTCTGGATTCTCTTTTCTGATCCATGGGTCTGTGTCTGTCCGTTCAGCAACACAACACTGTCTTGCTTATAGTAGCTTTGTGGTAAGTCATAAAAATGGGTGAAGTGGTTCCTCCAACTTTAGTTTTCTTTTTCAACATTGTTTTAGCTCTTCCAGTTTCTTGGCTCCTCTATACAAATTTTAGAATCAGTTTATCAATATCTACAAAAAGTTGTGCTGGGATTTTGATTGGAATTGCATTACATTTGTAAATCTACAAAAGTTGTGCTGGGATTTTGATTGGAATTGCATTACATTTGTAAATCAGTTTGAGGAGAGTTAACATCTTTGCTATGTTGTCTTCCAATCTATGTATATAGTATATCTCTCCATTTACTTACATATTTTTTTTATCAGTGTTTTGAAGTTTTCAGGACCCCCTATTTACATTTTGCCTGGAGAGCAAACTAATAGACTTCTGCCAAGCCACTGCAGGGATATCTAGGGATCTGATTGCTTCTTAAGGAACTTGCACCAAGTCCTCTCTGCTCCAGCCTTCCTTTTTACTGCCAGCTCCAGAGATACTAGGTTTGCCATTCCCAAGTCTTTTGAGGGTTTTATAGAGAAAATCTGGTTGGTTCTCAGCTTCTCCATTGTGTGGTTTGTGTTTGGCTTTCTCAACTGTACCAAGGCTGTTACAAGTAAATAGAAATACAGTAGGTTTCACCTTGATTATATTCTTTCTTTACTTAAACTTCTCAAATATCCTTACTTTATATCTCTGATCATTCTAATATCTTATGCCTTGGTGCATCTGATTTCACTAGTAGTGCTTCTGTCTTTAGGTGTTTTGTGATTTTTACATGATCTCATGTTCAATGGAACTTTCTTGATGGGAATTCTTTGAGGCCTAGGTTGAAAGTGAGTATCTCCAGAGGTATTGTGTCTCTGCCCACTGCTCTGGGAGCACCGCCAATCCGGGATTATTTTAGAATAAATTCTCAGCTTCAGTGTAAAATAGTGCCTTTAGATTACGAATTCAGACCACAAGGCTTAATTTGTGATAATAAAATCTCAGCACCAAGGTCAAACTATGCAAATGTCCCTGCTGTCTGCCTCATCATAGCTTGGCTCATCCTTTCCATCCAGTTCTCCATGCTCTCTGAGGCTCTCTCCTGCCCAGAGTGTCCGTTTTCAGCTTGGCACCTGTGACTCTGCTAAAGGGGTCTGTGTCAACCCCCAGATGTATGTTTGGAAAACAGGAATTTCCTTTCTAAAAATCACTTCTCTGTAACTTTTCTGTGCCCAGCCTTAGGATAGGAACTAGAAGTACAGGTGTGAAAAAGGACACATGGCCTATCTTCATGGCACTCACATTTTGGGAGGAAAATAATGAACGAATGCTTTTTGAGTTAATTATTTTCAAGCCATGCCAGTCACCATCCCGGTGCATTCACGTGCATGATGTCTGCAGTCCTAGTAATGACCTTGCACAGTAGGGTCTCTCGTGGATATTTTGTGGATGAGGAAACTTGGGCTACAGGGACAGGCAATGAGCTTGGCACTGGGGTTTGAGCTCCTCATGCTGGGGCTGAGTGACTGTCCTGCTCTCTCGTAGAGGCTGTGCATGCCCGTGTACTGCAAGTACCAGTTCCATAAGACTCCAGTTCACAAGACCAAGGGGGAGCCCCATGGAACCCACGTTTATTTCCAGGACATCAACGTCATCTTCCTGGGGGCGCTGCATCCCAGTGACCTAAGAGAATACCTGGAGGGTCCCCCCATGGTGGTGGAAGTTCATGACCGGGACCGCAAGTCAGAGGAGTTTTCTCAGAAGCCCGTGCTGTTTGGGGAGGACCCCCTGGATTCATACCTCAACTTCCGGGCCCTCATCTCTCCCAGAGAGACAGAGAACAACCCCTTTGAGTCCCAGAACAAGATGTGGTACCCTTATGGGATCGCCCAGGTCAGTTTTGCTGACCTCCTCCTTGGCCACAAGTATTTGAACCTGGCCGTCCCCATCCACAGCTGTGAGGTTCAGCCCACACACTGCAGCCAGGACAGCAGGAGAAGGATGGCTGTGGGGCTTGGGGTCCCCAGAGATGGCCACCAGCATGGCCCAATGCCCATGGGCAACTACCTAGAGGCTGACTCCCAGCTCAAGTTGCGAGTGGACATCGCGGTGCCACTGAGGGCCGGGGCCAGAGCTGCCAATCCCGACCTCGGGGGCTCCCAGTTTGGCCGCATCATCTTCGTCTTTGACTTTAAGAAGGTCTCCCTGCTCCACAGCCTGCTGCAGGACATCACTATGATCAACGCTAAGGCCCTCGGCCTGGACTCCTACCCCGTCAGGACCCTGCAGCAGATCCTGTCGGCCTTCAAGATGCGTGTGCGGGTCCAGGAGCAGCAGTACCTGGATGTACTCACCGGCTTCCACCTGCTGGACGGGAAGACCCACCTTTTCATCCTGGAAGGCCTGGCCAACCAAGGCTTGAGGCAGCTGTGGGAGAACCACCAAAGCTGGTAGGTGGTTTGTTTTACATTTTACATAAAAATGATGGCATCTGGATGCCGAGGGAGTGGAGAGGTCTTTCAGAGTCAAGCCTAGGTTCAATGTCCTTGTCTGTGATCATTGTGAGGTACTTGCCAGGGTTTAGTCATTGGACTTGAAGACTCGATTGCCTTTGCTTGCAGGGAGGAATTCAGGAGTATCTAAGATGACTGAGGGGTCCAGGAGAGTGGCGCCTGTCTTCAGGGTTCTGAGCCAAGGGCTACTGTGGCTAACCAGGAGCAGAATATTCTGTATTAGATTTCAGCTTGCCCCAGGGAAGATCATTTTGAAGATGGAGGGGCTGCTTAGTTTGCAGGAAGTTACCCTTCTCTGAAGGCCTTCAGGGGACCTGGGGGCCACTCAGTGGGGACACTAGAGGTGAATAATTAAAGTGTCCAATTCTGGGCTGCAGCAGGTAGCCCTTTGCAGTTCCTCCATTCTTTAGTTTTGATGACATGACACCTCTCCCTTCCTTTCACAATTTGCAGGTATACTAGTTTGGGTAGATAGGATTTCCCTCCTTTAGTCCAGAGGGCCCCCATCTGTCTTCAGAATTCAGATGCCCCAGGACCCACTTGTCTGCAGTAGGGAGTCCAGGAGTTGAGGCTGTCTGCCCAGAAGGGGACTGCACCTCTCCAGACCTGCCTTCCTGTGCTGATGGGCCCAGAGGCACCGGGAGAAGCTGGCCTTGTATCTATTATAAGCCCAGGAGAACTGAAAACATATTTCCACACAAGAGCTTGTACACACATGTTCATATCAGTGTTATGTATAATAGTCAAAAAGTGAAAACAGGCCAGGTGCAGTGGCTCACACCTGTAATCCCAGCACTTTGGGAGGCTAAGGCAATCCTGGAATCACTTGAGCCCAGGAGTTCAAGACCAGCCTGGGCAACATAGTGAGACCTTGTTACTACAAAAAAAAAAAAAAATTAGCCAAGCATGGTAGCTCCTGCCTGTAATCCCAGCTACTTGGGTGGCCAAGGTGGGAGAACCCAGGAGGCAGAGGTTGCAGTGAGCCAAGATCACGCCACTGAATTCCAGCCTGGGTGACAGAGCCAGGCCCTGTCTCAGAAAAAAAAAAAAAAAAAAAAGTGGAAATAACCCAGATGTTTATCAACTGATAAACAAAAGATAATAAGTCCATAGAATAATTGAGCCATAAAAGGAAATGAAAGCCAGGCATGGTGGCTCACACCTGTTATCCCAGCACTTTGGGAGGCTGAGGCGGGGGGATTGTCTGAGGTCAGGAGTTCAAGACCAGCCTGGCCAACATGGTGAAACCCCATCTCTACTGAAAATAGAAAAACTTAGCCGAGCATGGTGGCACGTACCTGTAATCCCAGCTACTCAGGAGACTGAGGCAGGAGAATTGCTTGAACCCTGGAGGCAGATGTTGCAGTGAGCCAAGATCACGCCACTGCACTCCAGCTTGGGCAAGAAGAGCGAAACTCCGTCTCAAGAAAAAAAAAAAAAAAAAAAAGAAAGAAAGAAAGAAATGAAATACTGATACACATATCTCAACCTTGAAACGTTCTGCTAAGTCAAAGAAGCCAGACACAAAAAGGCACATATTGTATGACTCTGTGTTTGTGAAATGTCCTGAACTGGCAAATCCATAGAGATAGGTAGGCTGGTGGTTGCCAGGGATAACCACTCAGGGGAGGGCAGGAGAGAAGCGGGGAGCCACTGCCAGTGGGCACACGGTTGCCATCAGGGGTGTGGAGGATGTTCTAGAACTAGATAGTGTTTATAGCTGCACAACATTGTGAATGTAGTCTAAATCACTCATTCATGCGCTTTAAAAGGTTGAGTTTTATTCAAGACCAGCTTTGCCAACATGGTGAAACCCCATTTGTACTAAATATACAAAAATCAGCCAAGCGTGGTGGCAGGTGCCTGTATTCCCAGCTACTTGGGAGCCTGAGGCAGGAGAATCGCTTGAACCCGGGAGGTGGAGGTTGCAGTGAGCCAAGATCACGCCACTGCACTCCAGCCTGGGCGGCACAGCAAGATTCCGTCTCAAAAACAAAAAAAAAATGAGTTTTGTCATGTGTAGCAGAGAATGTGGCCTGGCCCAGGAACAGTCTGGGCTCTGCCCTTGGCTCCTGGGAGGCAATCTGAGTCACACCTAATAGGAGTGTCTTTGTTCAGGGAGGGGACTGGCCACGCCTGACAGTCACAGGATGGAGGCTGACCTTCCAGAAAGACCAACCGGGTGCTTCGGGATGGGGGCTTTGGGTCATGCAGAATCAGGAGACTGAGTTCAGCCATGTAGGCGGTCAGCCCGCCTGCCATACCTGTGCAGTGGCACCCCCTGGAAACTCTGGCCACCAGGGCTGGGGCGAGCTGCCTGGCTGCAGTGTGCTTGCACGCCGCCACTCACCAGTGCTAGGAGGGTAGCACATCCGGCCCCACAAGGAGAGGACAGTGGAAGCTTTGTGTCTGGAGCCGTCGTGGACTCTGCTCCATGTGTTTGTTCCCCTGGCAGATTTTAATCTGTATTCTTTCCCTGTAATCCAACTAACTATGAGTGTAGAACTCACTTTCAGTAAGTTCTGTGAGCCCTTCTAGCGTGTTATCAAACCAGAGGGCAGTCTCAGAAACCTCCTGAACTTGCAGTCGGCGTCAGAAGTAAGGGTGGTCTTGGGGACTGTGCCCTCAAACTTTGTGGTTTGGCTAATGCTGGGCAGATAGTATATGAATTACATCTCGAAAGCATTTTCCAGTGGCAGAAATAACATGAAGCATGCTCATTGAACCCCGTTGAATTAGGCTAGAAATAAAACACAGATCATTAACCAGAAAAAAGTTCATATGGAAGGAAATTAATAACCATACTTCCAAATAACTTGTGGGTCAAAAAGAAATCCTAATGGAAATTAGACATTTTTGAACTGAACAATAATGAAAATAATATATTAACTAAATTTGCAGGGTGGGCCGGGTGCAGTGGCTCACTGGATAGTGTTTATGGCTGCACAACATTGTGAATGTAGTCAAAATCACTCACAATCCCAGCACTTTGGGAGGCCAAGGTGGGCGGATCGCCTGAGGTTGGGAGTTTGAGACCAGCCTGGTCAACATGGTGAAACCCCATCTCTACTAAAAATACAAAAATTAGCTGGGGGTGGTGGCACACACATGTAATCCCAGCTACTCGGGAGGCTGAGGCAGGAGAATCTCCTGAACCCAGGAGGCAGAGATTGCAGTGAGCCAAGGTCATGCCACTGCACTCCAATCTGGACAACAGAGTGAGACTCTGTCTAAAAATAAATAAATAAATAAATAAAAATGTGCAGAGTGATATTGAAGCATTAGTCAGAAGAAAATGTATAGCCTTAAAATGCTTATTTGGAAATGAAAAATGTCTGAAAATTATTGAGACATAACTATAGTTGTTGCAGACATTGATATGTGTTTCAAATTATGCCAATATATTAAAAAATTTATAAGAAATTTAAAAAATAATACCAAAAATATGTTCAGATAAGATTTAATGTGGTATCGAATATAAAAATTCGTATAAAAATATCAAATTTTGAATACCATCTACATACGAAAACTAATTTTTAAAAATTGGAACACATTTAAAGTAAAATGTATGAAATTCCTGGGACTAAATTTGACAAAAAGATGTGAAAGACGTCCATCATGAATATTATACAACTTCAGGAAAAATTAAGGAAGACATAAATAAGTGGAGAGAGATACCATGTTCATGAATTTGAAGACTCAATATTCTAAAGGCTCAGTTATCTTCAGATTTGAACTGTAGATTCAGTGCACTTCCAGTTTTAAAAATTCCAACAGTTTTTAAAGTATGGACATTGATTTTAAAATTTTAAACTTTTGCATGTTAAGGTTCATACTTTTTTTTTTTTAATCAAAGTCCATACTTTAAAAGCTGTTGGAATTTTAAACCCTTTACAGCAACATGCAAAGGTCTTTTTTTTAAAAAAGATACCCTTGAATAAGAACAAGATAGAAGAACTTGCTGCACTAGATATCAAGACTCATGATAAAACTATAGTCATTAAGATAGTGTGGTGTTGGTTCAGAGATAGACAAGCAGACCTATGGAATATAATAGAGAATCCAGAAACAGACCTACACATAAGTGTTCATTTGCCGTATGACATATGTGATATTGCAAAATTGGTGGGGAATAAATATACTAAAAAACACTGAATGTTCTACTTCAAAAGGATGAATCTTACACAATGGGATGCTATTTCATACTCATTAGGATGGATAGAATCCAAAAGTCCAGTAATGATAAGCATTGGCGAGGATGTGGAGGAATCAGAAGTGTCCTTCTCTGCTGGGAGGAACGTAAGTGCAGCCACTTTGGAAAACACTCTGGCAGTTCCTCAAGTGATTAAACACAGAGTTCCCATATGACCCAGGAATATCACTCCTAGATCTGTGCCCAAGAAAATGAAAACATGTATATCCATACTAATGTGTGGATTATTGCTAATTAGTGTACTAAACTTGTACACTCATGTTTATAACAGCATTATTCATAATAGCCAAAAGATGGAAACAGCCCAAATGTCCATGAAGTGGTAAAAGGGTAAACAAATGATGGGATATGCATACACTGGAATTCTATTTGGACATAAAAAGGAATGAAACACTGACACATGCTACACTATGGATGAACCTTGAAAACATGCTGAGGAGAAGCGGCTGGCCACAAGATGTTGCATATGACATGATTCAATTTATGTGCAATGTCCAGAAGAGACCAATCTATCAGAAAGTAGATTAGTACAGGGGTCCCCAACCCCTGGGCCACGGACCTGTACCAGTCTCTGGCCTGTTAGGAACCGGGCTGCACAGCAGGAGGTCAGCAAGCTCTGCCTGAGCTTCGCCTCCTGACAGATCGGCAGCAGCATTAGATTCTCATAGGAGCGGGAACCTTTTTGTGAACTGTGCATGCGAGGGACCTAGGTTGCGCATGCTTTATGAGAATCTAATGCCTGATCATCTGAGGTGGAACAGTTTCATCCCGAAACCATCCCCCCAGCCCCATCCATGGAAAAATTGTCTTCCACGAAAGCAGTCCGTGGTGTCAAATAGGTTGGGGACCACTGGATTGGTAGATACTTAGTGGATCAGGGGTGGGGGCATTCAGGGGGTTGGGAGTATACAGAGTGATAGCTAAGGGGTGTGGGGTTTCTTTCTGAGGTGATGAGATGTTCTGAAATTGATGACGGTGGTAGTGGTTGCACTAAATAGATGAAAAACTATTGAATTATACTTTACAAATGGGTAAATTGTCTGCCATGTAAATTATATCTCAATTAAAAAGTAACTCTAGGCTGGGCACTGTGGCTCACGCCTGTAATCCCAGCACTTTGGGAGGCCAAAGTGGGCAATTACCCAAGGTCAGGAGTTCGAGACCAGCCTGGCCAACATGGTGAAAACCTGTCTCTACTAAAAATACAAAAATTAGCCAGGCGTGCTGGCACATTCCTGTAATCCCAGCTACTCAGGAGGCTGAGGCAGGAGAATTGCTTGAGCCCAGGAGACAGAGATTGTAGTGAGCCAAGATCGTGCCACTGCACTCCAGCCTGGCCAACAGAGAGAGACTCTGTCTCAAAAAAAATAAATAAGTAACTCTAGTGGACAAAAAAAGTTCAGTAGGGAAAGGATAAACTTTTCAATAAATGGTGTTGGGATAATTGTGTTCCATAGGAACAAAGGAAAGACATCCTTAATCCCTGGCAACCACTGCTATATCTGAAAATAGAACTGATTTTTGTATGTTGATTTTATATCCTAAAGCCTTGCTGAACTCACTGGTTCCACGAGTTTTTGTTTTGTTTTTTTGGGAGATTCCTTGGGATTTTCTATACTGATCATCATGTCATCTACAAATAGGGATAATTACATTTCTTTCTTTCAGTCTGTATACCTTCATCTCCTTGTTGTACTGGCCTGGACGTGCAGTATTGTTTTATATAAGAATGGTGAAGGTGGCTCACTCCTATAATCCCAGCCCTTTGGGAGGCCTAGATGGGCGGATCACGAGGTCAGGAGATCGAGACCATCTTGGCTAACGCGGTGAAACCCCATCTCTACTAAAAATACAAAAATTAGCCAGGCATGGTGGCGGGCACCTGTAGTCCCAGCTACTCGGGAGGCTGAGGCAGGAGAATGGCGTGAACCTGGGAGGCGGAGCTTGCAGTGAGCCGAGATCGCGCCACTGCACTCCAGCCTGGGCAACAGAGCGAGACTCCATCTCAAAAAAAGAAAAAATGGTGAAAGCACACACACTTGCCTTGTTTCTGGTCTCTGCGGCAGAAGGCATCAGTGTTTCCCCACTACCTATGATGTTAGGTGTAGGGTTTTTGTAAATGTCCTTATGGGTCTGAGGAAGTTCCATTCTATTCCTAATTTGCTGGCTCACACAATTCATAAAAATCAACTCTAGTCTAGGTAGACCAACCCCTGTTTTTAAACTTTTAACTTTGTTGGGTTTTTTTGAGCTTTTTCTTTCTTTCTTTCTTTCTTTTTATTGAGACGGGGTTTATTGCTGTTACCCAGGCTGGAGTGGAGTGGTGCGGTCATGATTCACTGCAACCTTGACCCCCACCGCCTCAAGCGATCCTCCTACCTCAGCCTCTCAAGTAGCTGGGACCACAAGCATGTGCCACCATGCCCAGCTAATTTTTTTTCTTTTGTTTGAGACAGAGTCTCCTTCTGTTGCCCAGGCCAAGATCGCAATGGTGTGATCTTGGCTCACTGCAACCTCTGCCTCCTGCGTTCAAGCAACTCTCCTGCCTCGGCCTCCCTAGTAGCTGAGATTACAGGCACCCGCCATCATGCCCGGCTAATTTTTTGTATTTTTAGTAGAGATGGGGTTTTGCCATGTTGGGAAGGCTGGTCTGGAACTCCTGACCTCAGGTGATCCACCTGCCTTAGCCTCCCAAAGTGCTGGGATTACAGGCGTGAGCCACCGCACCTGGCCTAAACTTTTAACTTTGAAATTGCAAAAATAGTGGAGAGGTTGTATGTACTCATTACTCAAGGTCCCCCAATTCCCCCAATGGTGACATCTTATATAATGACTACTGATTGACACAGTGTAACTAAGTAGACTACAATGATCTGATCTCAGATTTCACCAGAAATATTTTTTTTTTTTTTTGAGACAGAATCTCTCTCTCTCTCACCCACGCTGGGGTGCGGTGGCATGATCTCAGCTCACCGCAAGCTCCGCCTCCTGGGTTCACGCCATTCTCCTGCCTCAGCCTCCTGAGTAGCTGAGACTACAGGTGCCTGCCACCGCGCCCAGCTAATTTTTTGTATTTTTAGTAGAGACGGGTTTCACCGTGGTCTTGATCTCCTGACCTCATGATCCACCCGCCTCAGCCTCCCATAGTGCTGGGATTACAGGTGTTAGCCACTGTGCCTGGGCTTTTTTTTTTTTTTTTTTTTTTTGAGACAGGGTCTGTCTCTCTCACCCAGGCTGAGTGGTACAAAGGCTCACTGCAGTGGTACAAGGGCTCACTGCAACCTCTGCCTCCAGGGGTCAAGCCATTCTCCCATCTCAGCCTCCCAGGTAGCTGGGACTATGGGTGTATACAACCATGCTCAGATTATTTTTGTATTTTTTGTAGAGATGGGGTTTCACCGGGTTGCCCAGGCTGGCCTCCAACTCCTGGGCTCAAGCAACCTGCCCACCTTGACCTCCCAAAGTGAAAAATCTATTTTTGAAAAGCAAAATTACAAAGCTTATAGATGAAAATATAGAAGAACATATTCATGACCCCAGAATGGAGAAAGAGTTCTTGAACCAGACAAGGACAAAGAAGAAAAGAATCATACATTTGGCAACGTTAAAAGTAACTTCTGCTCATCAAAAGACACTATCAAAGTCAAAATACAGAGATGAATCTCTAAATTTAAAAATTTTATTTGGGAAGCAAGAATTACAATTTGAGGTACACACACAGGCTGGGCAGTCTTCAGTATGTCTGAAAAACAGAGAAGGTTGGAGGTTTTATAAAAAGGAGGGGCATTATAAAAATGTTCGGTATTGTTTTGAGAATTCACTTTGTTTTGTGTTTGACACAAAACCAAGTTTTGGGGCACTGGCAGCCTCCGACTGGCAAGCGTCAGTGAGTAAAAGTAGTCTTGGAGTTGCAGCAGGTGGTGTCAGTAGCTATCAGATAAGACTGGCTTCAGGTTGGAGCAGGCGGCCTCAGCAGCCAGGCTGCGGAGAATGACATTCCTGGAGCAGTGCTACGTGCCCTGGGTGCTTTCTCCCCGCCTCTCGACTCTGTTTTAGTTGGGTGTGATAAGAATGACCCAATGTATGTGATCAACTTTCACAACACCGTAAATATGGTGAAAAGACAAGCTACAAACAAAATTATTTGCAGTGTCTGGAACTGACCAATAATTAGTATCCTAAATATATTTTTTAAAGTCCTGTGAATCAATAAGAAAACATCCCAGTGGAAAGTATGGGCAATACCCATACTTTCAAACAAATACTTCACAAAAGAGGACCTACCCCGACCAAGAACACAGATTCCTGAAGGGGAGATGAAAGCATTGTAGACTTCACCAGGTTCAAAAAGGTGGTGGATTGGCATAGGCCAGTGCAGGGCAATGAGAGTAGGCTGTGCATAGAAACCCTGCCAGGCTGGTGTTGCCATAGTGCAGAGTGCGAGTGCCAGGGCAGGGCTTGGAGGGGTGGTGAGGGGCTGAGTGGGGGCAGGAAGGGGGTGGGAGGCACAGGCCTTGAGCCAGATCAGGTCAATTTCAGCATTTCACTGCCAGTTCTCTGTCAAGGCCCCATGTTTTGAAAGATGTTGTGTCTACCAGGAGGCATTCATCATCATCATATTCTTTTTGTTTTTTCTATTCTTTTAGTTAATTTTTTATACTTTTAAATTGCTCTATTTTTATCTTAGTATAGTCTTTATTACCAACCTTGTCTTTCGTTGTTGTTTTGAAATGGGATCTCACTCTGTTGCCCAGGCTGGAGTGCACTGGTGCCATCAGGGCTCGCTGCAGCCTCTACCCCCCTGGGCTTTTTTTTTTTTCGTTTTGGTTTGTTTTTGTTTGGAGACCGAGTTTCACTCTTGTTACCCAGGCTGGAGTGCAATGTCATGATTTTGGCTCACTGCAACCTCTGCCTCCCGGGTTCAAGCGATTCTGCCGCTTCAGCCTCCCGAGTAGCTGGGATTACAGGCATGCACCACCATGCCTGGCTAATTTCGTATTTTTTACTAGAGATGGGGTTTCTCCATGTTGGTCAGGCTGGTCTCGAACTCCCGACCTCAGGTGATATGCCCACCTCAGTCTCCCAAAGTGCTGGGATTACAGGCGCGAGTCACCACACCCGGCCCCTGGGCTTGTTTTTAAACAACATAAAAGCTGTACCTGACAGTGCACCCTCACCATGGTGTCCCAGGAAGCTGCCATGCAAGTTAGCTCTGGCCCTTGGCCTTCTGTCTCTTGCAGGATTCCCAGGTCAGAACACGGGAAATACAAGGTGCTGTACAACTCGCAGCTACTGTTCCGCAGCCGGCTCTATGGGGACCTGGAGGCCATCCTGTACCATGTGCACCTCTTCCAGCCCACGGAGCTGCTGCTGCAGCAGGCGGTGCTTTTCCTGCGAGACACTGAGTGGAGGCGGGTCTTCCAGGCACTGACCAGGTGGGCAGTGGCAGCCCGCATGGGGTCCTGCGCCCCAGCAGAAGGGGCGCTTCTTAGCACTCTGCGCCCAAACAGGCGAGCTGGGGTGTCCAACAACTACATAGTGGCCCCAACAGACGATGGGGAGAGGAGGGCATCTGCCCAGATGCTGTGACTCTGTCGTGTCTGCAGTTCTTGGGGCGTGTCCTAGAATCACCTGAGGAGGGAGTGGCTGGTTAAACCCCATTTTCTAACCTGGGCAACAGAGTGAGACCCCATCTCCACAAAAATTTGTTAATAAAATTGGGAGGCCGAGACGGGCGGATCATGAGGTCAGTAGATCGAGACCATCCTGGTGAACATGGTGAAACCCCATCTCTACTAAAAATACAAAAAAAAATTTAGCCGGGCGTGGCGGCGAGTGCCTGTAGTCCCAGCTACTACTGAGGGAGGCTGAGGCAGGAGAATGGCCTGAACCCGGGGGGTGGAGCTCACTGTGAGTGGAGATCACACCACTGCACTCCAGCCTGGGCGACAGAGCAAGACTCCGTCTCAAAAAAAAAAAAAAAAAAAGTTGTTAATAATTAGCCAGGTGTGGGCTGGGCACAGTGGCTCACACCTGTAATCCCAGCACTTTGGGAGGCTGAGGTGAGAGGATGGCTTGAGCCCAGGAATTTGAGACAAGCCTAGGCAACATAGTGAGACCCCATCTCTACTAAAAATACAAAAATTAGCCAGGTGTAGTGGCGCACACCTGTAATCCCAGCTACTTGGGAGACTGAGGCAGGAGAATCTCTTGAACCTGGAAGGCAGAGGTTGCAGTGAGCTGAGTTCGAGCCATTGTACCCCAGTCTGGGCGACAGAGTGAGACTTCCATCTCAGAAACAAACAAACAAAAACAGGCCAGATTCAGTGGCTCACACCTGTAATCCCAGCACTTTGAGAGGCCAAGGTGGGCGGATCACCTGAGGTCGGGAATTCGAGACCAGCCTGACCAACATGGAGAAACCCTATCTCTACTAAAAATACAAAATTTGCTGGGCGTGGTGACGCATGCCTGTAATCCCAGCTACTCGGGAGGCTGAGGCAGGAGAATTGCTTGAACCTGGGACGCGGAGGTTGCAGTGAGCTGAGATCACACCACTGCACTCCAGCCTGGGCAACCAGGGTCTCACCATTCCCTCATTGAGCAGCTGCTAGCCCACAATGGCTCTAGGGGAGCTGTGAGCACACCAGTCCCCAGTCTCAGGAGGCCACAGTTCAGAAGGAGAGAGGACATAAAGAACACAGGCAGTGGGGTGCCCTGGGACCCAGCAGGGGCATGGAGGAGGGGGCTGCTTCTTTCCCCAGGGCAGGAGAGGCTGCTCTTGAGGAAGGGCCAGGGGATGTTCAGCAGGTGGACAGTTCACTTGCTACTGGGTGTGGGGCAGGAGGTACAAACCCTGTCTTTATATTTTTAGAGCCAGCAACAGGTCTGGCCCTAGCTAGTGCTCACTGGATGTATTAATGAAGGAGGGGAGGAGACTGGAGAGATAGGAAGGATAAAGATCTTGGTTGGAACCAAGAGGCTTTTCTTTGATTCCGTGGCCCTCATCTTTGGCATGTGGGGTGGTGCCACAGCATTTGGGAGGAGGCCAGACCCGGTCCTGCCTGGTAGGTAACAGGAAGTAGCTGAGGGTTCTATGAAGGAAAGAGAAGAACACTTTTTAGGAAGTGCTTACTGCATCCAAGGTAGCTGCATCCATATAGCTTTATTTCTATCTGAGGGTGAAGAAACCATATTCAGAAAGGCTAAGGCTGGGCCAGGGTCACTGCGACAGTGAGAGTGAGGGCAGGCATCTACCGCACAGTGGACTTCGGAGGCAGCTGAGACAGTCAGCAGCCAACAGCCATGACCGAGCATGGGTTCTGGACCCAATGCCCACTGCACACCAGGCCATGGCAGAAGGCACCTAGGAGGAGGCTTCAGGGCTGGGGAGGTCCTTGAGCTTTGCTGAGGACTCTCTCTCCAGCCTCCTCCTCCTCCTCTATTAGCCAGCCCCCTGAGGCTCCTTGCATGATGTCCTCCTGGTGCGGAAGGCTCTGTGCTCTACATCCCTGATGGGCAGCTGGTAGGGCTGTGTCCCGATGGGGTATGGGAGGAGGGGAAGCATGGCTAAGGACACAGGAACAGAGAGAGCAGCACTCAGAGCAAACCATGGGCAGCCTTTGGCTTCTGGGGGCTGGGGAGAAGATGGAGAAGGAGCCAGGAGCCCAGGCTCAGCAGACTGGAATGGGAGCTCTTTCGTTACAAGCTCCAGGGCCTGGGACCAGCTAAGCAACCTCTGAGTGTTTATTTCCTGCTGTAGGATGGGAGTGATTACACCTGTCTTGCAAGGTAGGCGAGGTTCAGTGGGGCAGTGGTTCTTTGTTCCAGGATCCACGACATCTGCTATAACAGCACCACTCTCTGGGACGTGATGGTGAGGAACCTGCTGCCCTCCTCTGCTATGATCAAAGACTTGAGCCAAGAGTTTGGGATGCCCCTTTCGCAAGAAGAACTCACAGATGAGAAACTGTTCGCCCTACCACCTCAGCCTGCCCCCAATCTTGAGGACTACCACGGTCGGGACTCCAGCCTCACCTTAGAGATCCACGCCCACCAGGAGAAGTACCTGCAGTGGCGGAGCGCCATGCTACTGAAGAACAAAGACAAAAAGCACAGTTTCATCCAGGTGGGCCGCCTTCCTCTCCAACTTGGAGCTCCCAGGCCTCACCTGGGCAGTCCAGGCGCCTGCTGAGAGGCACAGGGCATATTCCTGAGTGGGACATTTGCCTCTGGTCTGTGCCTGCGCTCCCGGCCTGGGTTACCCCACTGGATGGGCAAGAAGTGCAGGAGGTGGGGCTGAGCCATGTCAGAAACCTTCACTCCCAGTCCTAGATAACCTTGTCCTTCCTGAAAGGTGAGAAGGAATGCTATTAGGTGTATTATCTTTACCATGGCCCCCAGAGTTCATTATAGAGAAAGAACTGTGGCGTGTGTGTGTGTGTGTGTGTGTGTGTGTGTGTGTGTAACATGTTGCTTAGGTTGCGCAGGGCATAAATGTCGTAAGATGTCCAAGCAACATGGGACATAAACTGATCTGCATGACAGAGGGAGAGAATGGGAGACTGAGAAGCTGGTGAGAGGGTAGAAGGCTGGTGCTATGCGGCCTGAATGGGCAAGGAGAACCTCGCTCACCCCATGCCAACCAAAAAGACATGAAAACACAAATATCTGTGGTATGACTTGGAGTTGTCTGCCCGTGGTCTCTGTGAAGGCCCTGCCATCCCCCGCAATTCTCTAGTTTAAAAACAAAAGTCTCCTAGAAGCTTGTAAGTTTTATATGTGTGCATTCTTTATGAAAACCAAAGAACAGACTTCTTTTATTTTGTTTGAATTGGGGTCTCACTACGTTGCTCAGGCTAGAGTACTATGACTTGATCACGGGTCACTGCAGCCTCCAACTCCTGGGCTCAAGCAGTCCTCCCACCTCGGCCTCCTGAGTAGGCAGGCACGTGCCACCACACCTGGTTAATTTTTTTTTTTACCTTTTTAAGAGATTGGGTCTTGCTATGTTGCCCAGGCTGGTCTCCAGCTCCTAGGCTCAAGGGATTCTCCTGCCTCGGCCTCCCAAAGTGTTGGGATTACAGGTGTGAGTCACTGTGCCTGGCTGTTTTTTCCATTAGTGTTCAGGTTTTTAGCTTTTTCAAAAGAACCAGTTCTTGGATTTATCAATTCTGCTTTTTCTGTTTTTCTAATTCATTAACTTGAGCTTTTATTTTTATGATACTTTAAAACATACACCTTTCTCCTTTTTTCTATCTTCTCGAGTTGGTTATTTCATTCATTTTTATTTCTCTTGTTTAATAAATATATATATATCATAGAACTGTGGGAGGCCAAGGTGCGCAGGTTGCTTAAGCTCAGGAATTTGAGACCAGCCTGGGCAACATGGCGAAACCGTCTCTACAAAAAATTAGCTGGGCATGGTGGCAGGTACCTGTAGTCCTAGCTACTCAGGAGGCTGAGGCTTGAGCCTGGGAAGCACAGGTTGCAGTGAGCCGAGATCACGCCATTACATTCCAGCCTGGATGGCAAAGCGAGACCCTGTCTCAATGCGGGGCACAGTGCCTTATGCCTGTAATCCCAGCATTTTGGGAGGTTGAGGCAGGCAGATCCCTTGAGGCCAGGAGTTCAAGACCAGCCTGGCCAACATGGCAAAACTCCTGTCTCTACTAAAAATACAAAAATTAGCTGGATGTGGTGGTGTGCACCTGTAATCTCAGCTACTTGGAAGGCTGAAGCAGGAGAATCACTTGAACCTGGAAGGTAAGGTTGCAGTGAGCTGAGATCGCACCACTGCATTCCAGCACTCAGAGCGACAGAATGAGACCCTGTCTCAAACAAACCAACAAAAAAAGTCAAACAACGTTGAGAGTATTTGCAGTCTTCCTTATCCTACCTCTCAGTGCCCTTAAGATATGTGCAAGAATATATATTCATTTCATGGGTTAATATAATTTTGTTAATGCCACATAATATGGAAGCGTTTTAAATTTATATTTATTTTTGAGATGGTCTTGCTCTGTTGCCCAGGCTGGAGTGTAGTGGCATGATCTCAGCTCACTGCAGTACCTGCCTCCCAGGCTCAAGCGATTCTCCTGCCTCAGCCTCCTGAGTAGCTGGGATTACAGGCACACACCACCATGCCTGGCTAATTTTTGTATTGTTAGTAGAGATGGAGTTTTGCCATGTTGCCCAGGTTGGTCTCGAACTCCTGACCTCAAGTGATCCACCCACCTCGGCCTCCCAAAGAGCTGGGATTACAGGTGTGAGCTACCACGCCTGGCCACAAGGAAGGGTTTTTAAAGATTTTGCAGGGCCAGGCACGGTAGCTCACACCTGTAATCCCGGCACTTTGGGAGGCTGAGGTGGGCAGATCACAAGGTCAGGAGATCGAGACCATCCTGGCGAACATGGTGAAACCCCATCTCTACTAAAAATACAAAAAAATTAGCCGGGTGTGGTGGCAGGCGCCTGTAGTCCCAGCTTCTAGGGAGTCTGAGGCAGGAGAATGGTGTGAACTCGGGAGGCAGCGGAGCTTGCAGTGAGCCGAGATCATGCCACTGCACTCCAGCCTGGGTGACAGAGCAAGACTCCGTCTCAAAAAAAATGCAATATTATAGACAATTTTATAATATAGTAATATACAATTTATTTACTAGCCTCCATCTCTTGTAAATTTGCTGAAATCGCTTGTATTGTTCCAGCTTTTAAAAAAATCATGTTCCTATTATCTTAGATATGGCTACTCTAAAATGGCTTTAAATTTCCTATTCATACTATAATAATTGAAACCCACCCATAATTTAGTTTTTTCACATTTTTACACCTTGAGATATAATTTATATACCATAAAATTCACTCATTATAAGTATATATAAATAGTTTTTAGTAAATTTATAGTTATAACACCATCATCACAATCCAGTTTTAGAACATTTCCATCCCCACAAAAAGTATTTTCATGCTAGTTTACAGTCAATCTCTCCTCCATTTTTAGTCCCACATAACCACTGATCTGCTTTTTGTCTTGATAGATTTGCCTTGTCTGAATATTTCAGGTAATTGGAACCATATAGTTATGTAAAGTTTTGTGTCTGGCTTCTTTTACTGAGCATAAAGCTTCTGAGGGTCATCCATGTTCCTGAATATATCAGCAGTATGTTCCTTTTTTATTGCTGAATATTATTCCATTGAATTGATGTACCATATTTATCCATTCACCACTTTTTGGAATTACTATTATTTCTTGCTTGGGGCTATTATAAATATTGCTCCTATGAACATTTGCATACAAATCATTATGTGAAAATATGTTTTCATTTCTCTTGGGTAGAACCTAGGAGTGGAATTGCTGTCATATAGGTAGGTTTATATTTATGATTTTAAGAAATTACATTGTAAGAAAAGCAGTTTTTACAGTGTAGTTGCACAATCTTAACATCCCTACCAGCAATGCATGAGGGTTCTAGTTTCTCCACATTCATACAAATACTTCTTATCAGTCCTTTTGATTATAGCCATTCTAGTGTGTATCTCATGATTTTAATTTGCATTTTATAATGACTGACGATGTTAGGTATCTTTTAGTGTGCTTATTAGGAATTAATAAAGCTTCTTTGATGTAATCTATATTTGTATCTTTTTGAATTAATCTCTTTTTTCAAATTGAGACAGGGTCTCACTATGTTACCCAGACTGATCTTGAACCCTTTGGGCTCAGACAATCCTTCCACCTTGGCTTCCTGAAGTGCTGGGATTACAATTATGAGCCACTGTGCCTGGCCCTCTGTTTGTATCATTTATCCATTTTAAAATCAAGTTGTCTTTTTATTGTTGAGTTGTTATATATTCTGGATACAAGTACTTAATGGGAAATATGATTTGCAAATATTTTCTCCATATTTGTGGCTTGTCTTTTTTTCTTAATGGTGTAAGAAAAAGCTTTTGAAGTATAAAAGCTCTTACTTTTGATAAATTCCAATTTACGTTTTTTCTTTTAGCAATCATGCTTTTGGTGTTATAGCTAAGGACTCTGCTTAAAGTTACAAAGATCATTTCATATCCTTTCTCTTACACTTACGCTTAACTTGCACATTTAGATCTGTGAACCATTTTTTTTGAGGTCCATGGTAAGGGTCTAAATTAATCTTTTTGCATATGGATATCCAGTTGTCCTCACATCATTTCTTGCGAAGACTAGCTATTCCCCCATTGAATTGACTTAGCACCTTTGTCAAGAATTGATCATAAATGTAAGAGTTTATATCTGAGTTCTAAACTATGTTCCATTAACTTATATGCCTCTCCATATACCAGCAACACATTGTCTTGATGACTTTAATTATAGTTAGTTGGATTTTTTAAGTCCTTTAACTTTGTTCTTTTTCAAAATTGCTTTGACTACTTTGGGTCCTTTGCATTTCTACATATATTTTAAGATCAGCTTGCCAATTTCTGTAAAAAATTCCATAGGAATTTCATCGGGATTTTATTTATTTATTTATTTTGAGATGGAGTCTCGCTCTGTCGCCCAGGCTGGAGTGCAGTGGCATGATCTTGGCTCACTGCAAGCTCAGCCTCCCGGGTTCACGCCATTCTCCTGCCTCAGCCTCCCAAGTAGCTGGGACTACATGCACCCGCCACCACACCTGGCTAATTTTTTTTTTTTTTTTTTTTTGGTAGAGACAGGGTTTCACCGTGTTAGCCAGGATGGTGTTGATCTCCTGACCTTGTGATCCGCCCGTCTCAGCCTCCCGAAGTGCTGGGATTGCAGGTGTGAACCACCATGCCTGGTGGGGATTTTATTGAATCTATAGATTGATTTGGGAAAAACTGCCAACTTAACAATTTTGGGGTTGCCAATTTATGAACATGTAATGTCTCTGCTGTTATTTACATCTTGTTTTCCTCAGCAATTTCTGTAGTTCTCAATGTGTAACTCTTGCACTGCTTTTGTGAAATTAATGGTGCTATGAATTGAATTACTTTTTGCATTGTTTCCATAATATAGAAATAGAATTAATTTTTTGTACATTGATCTGGTGTCCTACAACCTTTTGAACTGGATCACATCATCTGTGAAGAAAGGTCATTTTCCTTTCCAATCTGGATACTCTTCCTTCCTTC